TCTTCGCTTGGAGGTGATAATCTCTATTTTGAAAGCCGGTAACCGGTAGGTAATGCCCTTCCATTCAGAGACAATCACAATCTCTCTGCTTTTCTAGTCAGAGTGAGAGAGCTTGGGAATGAACCTTTTTAGAGACGCGCCCGCAGTATAATTGCGGCTTTTCGCTGTAAGCCTTCCTCTCTTTCTCTCTCTCTGCTCGCCAACTGTAATAAAATGAGGTAGGAGCAAGTGCAATCTTCAATTTTTGTAGTTGTTATAAGGCCATCCAAAACCAAGTCATGCCAAAATGAATTGGAAAAGTGTTTCTAATTTTGAAGTGTGAAGTGTATGGTTTCAACCATTTCATCAAGATTATATTTGAGGAGATTGTGGAATGAGGAGTTAAAGGCAAAATGGCGATCGATCATTGTAGCAATGTGAAGTAGTCGAGTGTTGTCGATTCCTCGAAGTATTGAAGAGCGAAATTGACTGTGACCCGAACACCCTTTTGGTGATTGAAAATCTCTTGATCAACTGAAATCGAGTTTGAAGGTGTTGCATTATTCGAGATTTTAGATACTTAAATCCATAGACTTCTTTCTGTGTTTCACTGCGTAATGTTATTTAAAGTAATCCCTTAGCAGTTGAAATTGATCTTCAATTCCTCGAACGGAAAACACTGTTATAGTTACAGTGGTCATCAAGGTTACAGGGCATCGCACGCTGATGATTCTTGATCATCCTGAATGCATTATGCAACTTCACAAAACTTGCACTTCGCAAAATTTGAAAACTTTAAGGACAATTGATGCAAGTACGTAACTAAAGAAAAGTAACTTTTTTTGCTTGCTTGTTTACTTCCTTACCAGTAAGCTCCACCGTGATACACTTTATGAGTGCTGTGGTGCTGTCCTCCAAGGAGCTAAGGACAAGAAAAGGAAGTTTGTTGAGACCGTTGAGCTCCAAATCAGTTTAAAGAACTATGATCCTCAGAAGGACAAGCGTTTTAGTGGAACTGTGAAGCTTAAGAATATTCCTCGACCGAAGCTCAAGGTCTGTATTCTTGGTGATGCCTCACATTGTGATGAGGCCAAGGCAAATGACATCCCCTGTATGGATGCTGAAGCTTTGAAAAAGTTGAACAAGAACAAGAAACTTGTTAAAAAGCTGGGTGAGTTGTAGAATTTGAGTCTTACATATTAATTGAACGAGTTGCTGTGACTTTTGTTTTTTTTAATTTGATAATTGCATAGTATCCTTAAACATTATGAGTCTTATGTTGATGTGTTAATTTCAGCCAAAAAGTATGATGCTTTCCTGGCCTCTGACAGTCTCATCAGACAGATTCCTCGTATCCTGGGACCTGGTTTGAACAAAGCTGGCAAGTTTCCCACAGCATTGACCCACAATGACAACATGGTGCAAAAAGTAGAGGAAGTGCGCTCCACCATCAAGTTTCAAATGAAGAAGGTAGGATGTTCACCAGAAATAAGGCACAGTGCTCATGGTAATGCAGTGGTTAATGTATACATATGAACAGACAAAACTCTTTCCAAAATCAGACAACATGGGATATGCATACGATCTTGTCAGCTTACATACATGCACCTCAAAGGTGGTTCATTCCCTCAAAATCCTGTAAACTTAGGGATTAATCATTTGTGGCAAGTGGCTGTTTTTGTTAGCATTATAATCACAGCACTGGCATGCAATGAGTCTCAAAATGTTGTAACTTACAAACACTTTTCATTTTCATATGGAAATAATTCAGTTGTTAAATCATCCTTTGAGCACTGGTAAGGCCTTGTATTCTGGAAGACCAGGAAAGTTTTCTGGTCGGACCTGCACCCAGGGTCTTAAATCTGTGGGGAGACCGTTTGGTCGATAAACAGCAAATCACTCATTGACTCAGTCACTAAAACATAACTGTAATGCACAGTTAATGTATTTGAAACTGCAAGGAATTCTAGGGATGCAATGGGTAAAGTTCAATTCATTTCTGAAATATAGAGGTCTTTTTGATTGGGTGTTCCAAACTAAAACAGTGTAGTCACAGTTGCAAATCAGAACGCATGAAAAATATTAAGGAGCTTTGATATTCAAATTAAATAATACAAGCAAACTGGCCACTTCAAAGCAAACTGTGATTAACCAAATCATGGTTAGTTTCCAGTTTAGGAGGATAGTGGAAGTTTTAGGACAAATTACATTTCAGCACTATGTAAAAGCTATGCAGTCTTAGATTTCTTCTCACCATCTAATTGAAGACTGTTCTATGCCATATGTTGACTTATGTTTAGAAGAGTACTGAGATTATTGATTCCAGCTCTCTGCACATTAACTGTTTTACATTACTGATGGTCTTTAGGTTCTCTGTCTTGCTGTGGCTATTGGTCATGTTGAGATGTCTGATGAGGAACTTGCAGCAAATGTCTATCTTGCAGTCAATTTCTTGGTGTCTTTACTGAAGAAGAACTGGCAAAATGTACGTGCACTCTATATCAAGAGCACCATGGGAAAACCCCAGCGTCTTTATTAGGCACTTGAGCAGTACATGTACTTTCAGTTGTACTATGAACAGTCAATAAAAGTGCATTGATATGTTAACCTCTGTCATTTGTTTTGATGAAGAGTAGAATTGAGACTGCAGTTGGAAATGCAGATGAATCAGCCTTTCAAAAACACATTCTTAATTTTTTTTTGTTTTGCCTTGTGCAGCTTGCTGGAGACTACACATATGCAGACTTTCCTAGCGATAAGGCTAAAATTATTTGTTTCATACATTGATTGTTATTCAACATCAAACCTGGTTGAGGTCATTTAAGGTTTTCAGCAAACTTGGGTTCAAATTAGAGACAAGAATAACCTGGAAAGTATACACTAAAGGTCCTCTGTAATTACAGTTTACATACTCCTAATATTTTGTCCTTCTTTCACTTCAATGGAGACCTCAGTTGTTTGACAAGGTAACTTATGCCAGAAAAGAAAAACATTGCCTGTACAAGTCACAGTTGTGTGTTGTGGGATTCCCTCCTTCCTGATTCTCTTTTAGTAGCTCCTAACCATGTAACTCCCAAGATGTGATTGTAAATTCTCCTTCTGGCCGTTACACACTTCCTTGTAAATAACATAAATGAATTTGGTTTTAGATCAGGATTTAAAC